CAAAAAAACTGATGATGGTGGAAAAATACACAGAAACGTTTTTTAATTGATAAATAGAGACAATAAATGACTGAAACCCAGGAATTAATTTTGATTTGGAATTATAATTAGGCCCATTAGAGAATTGACCTACTCATTTGATTTAGATAGCGCTTGAAGCGAGAAGTGAGGTGTATTAGTATCAATAAGAACACCAAACTGACATAAAGCTCGTTTGCATAAATAGTAATAAGCCAATAGTGTGATACGATAGATAGTACAAAGAAAATGTTTTACAGTTTATGACGATATTATTCGCCAACACAAAGCAGCATGCTTGAGAGTGACGGGATTGGTGCGGTGCAAAGATCTTCTGTGGATAGGAACTTCGTCTGGAGCGCTGCTTACCATGCCATTTCCTCATGTAACACATTCAACTGGCAAATTTACCATCATACCACCACTTACTGCCCAAATGACTGGCCACATTGGGCAAGTTCGAATATTAACATCAGTAGAGGTGCCCTGTTCGTATCCGAGAAAAGGCACGCCAACCAAGAAGAGAACCAAGGCGGACATTCCGCAGTCACAATATGTAGTAATATCCGGTGGAGATGGGTATGAAGACTTTAAGACTCAAAACACATCAGAAGGATTAGGCCGTGAAGATTCGACTAACTTTTTACTGATATGGAAAATTTGATTCAAGAATGACGGGCTATTCATATTTGAACCGTCGAAGTGTCAGGAAACGCTTATATAGCCCGAAAGAAAATGCTTCCCGTTAAATCTTTGGTGGAAACTTAAGAAGGGAAGATGTAGTAAGCCAAATGGAATTTTCAGAAGACAAGACAATAACTGAAATAAATTAGCGTATTGATGCTTTGATTATTCAGATATTTTCGGTATATGTATGATTATTAAACTACGACATATATCAGAGAAAGATATTTTTCAAAATCACTCAAGTTGTGATATGGGCAACTTAGATGTTTGCTTTACTTTTGGAGCAGGTTTTACTCGGCTATAAAGATACATTTTCCCGTTATTTAGGACGCACACTGTATATAAGGTCAATTAGCCACTCTTTACATTATATTTCCGCGCCATATCTTTCTTATACCAGTAAAACTTTCTTGTATACATGATTGAGATTTAATTTAATATCGCACTGCCTCAGCTGACAAAAATTTACGGAAATAATTTGCATTGAGCAGTGGTTTCATTTAGTATAAAATATAAATCTAACTCGACTAGAGAGATATATTTTTGAACATATTTAAAAGCACATCCACAAGCACGATGCCAGACAACATATCCTCACAACTTTATAATTATTCTAATTTGGCTCTGATTTAAACAACTACAGGGTATATTTAAGGACGGATAATTATCTTTGCATTAATTGCATGCCTAGACCGGACTGGTATGAATCGTCTAGATGTACAAAATGCCACTGTTTAGTTCAAAAAACAAGAGTGTATTTTTATATTTATGATATGTAGATATATTCAATTAACTAAAGCAAATGGTGTTAACGTAAATTGTAGATTTGTTCTCCAATGGATATAAGGAATTTGTAAAACTGAGTAAAAAAGGTAAAATGTTATTATATCGAAGTTAAAAAGTATTTGTCCGAAGAAGTCACTGTGAATACATATTTTAGAGAGGATGCCAACTATTCACTCAACACATATCATCCATAGTTAGTACCTAGCTATTGGTGCAAAGGCCTATTGAAATAATTTCTTATATTTCATTTAAGAGAGGTTATTAATGAAAAATCTATACCATGCAATACATACATACAACTAGAGTAATGTATAGATAATAATTTAGTCAACCAGATTGACAGTTTTGACAATGAATTTCTTATATTGGCATCTTCATCGAATGAATCCGATTGATGTGTGTAGGCTTTAGATTGTTAGAATGGATAAGGTTAGTATAGCATTTCACGTCGAAGGCACTAGAACTCATACGAATGTTTTCAACCCAAAGCGTAAGGCATCTTAAAACAATTATTGACTGCCGCACGCGCCTAAACATTGAAACGTTTTACCTACTTATATAATTTTAATCTATATAACCATCGAACAGTTTTGTTGGTAATAGTATGTTACGAGTGATAAATGATGCATTTGGAAAAATGTGTGATAGTAAGTTATAAGCTGTACAGCCGTATTAAAGGATTTCACTAAAGATAGGTTTAAACAAATGGTTGTTAATTTTTAGTTTGTGACTAAATTTATTGTTCCCATAATTGATGTTGCTACTCGACCAACGTTTCACATTTCTAATCGATTTTTGTTTTTGAAAAGTGTACGGTGTTTTCGAAAGTTGATTAGAAGCTTGCCAAAAAAACTATGAGTGTAAACCATCAATTTCCAATCAAACGAACATAAACGTTTAATTGAAAATTGTACATACAGATGGCCATATAACTATTGAAATGAAACAATATACTGTGTATGTAAGATGCATTAATGTTGTAGAATGTTTATTGCTCAAATGCAATAAGACGCATTTAGAAAAATATATATCGATGTAACGCTGTGTAATAGTATATCTAAAATGTACTTAATGTGAAGAATGCACGTAATCACATTTTACTTTAAGAACTGAACTTGGAAGAAGCGATTAGCTAGCTTAGCTACTTTATAATTTTGAGGCCGTTATGACAGCCTTTAAAGTATTATCAATATTGGAAACAATTTTATTTTAAGGGCTTAATGCGTTCAGCATGCTAGATGTGAGTAGGCTCATATTAATATACTATTTATAATATATATTTTTGAAATGTAAGAGTATGGCGTATGGCTATGTCAACAGTTTCAATAGGTATACGATTGTTAATTACCGCATTTGAATTGTTCATTTCTTGATTATATAAAAATAGTATTTTTGAAACGTTTTTAATGAACATGTTGACATAGCTTATCGCTCTTTTTGGTGAACTTTAGAATTAAGATAATTTCTGTTACAAGCTATCATCATTTTCTGGCAAACTAGAATGATAATAGTTAGTACTCGAACACGCCTAAATCTAAGAATAAAATGCAAATGTAGCTTTAATTAAAATATGCTAAACAAAAGTTGGGCCATAAATCCTCAATATTTACTAAAACTTGATATACGAAACACTTCGGAAAATCAAGAAATCGAATGATAATGTCTATAAAATGACATATTTTACATGTTCACCTGTATTAATATGAATACCCATTGGTGAATATAAGTTGACTTATTTACACCTTTTTGGACACTGAGCGTTTGCTGTTAGATAAGTTAGATTTGTAAGTATATGTATATGTGTTTACAAAAAAAATGTGAACAATAAAATTGCTTTAATATTTGTATAAGAATTTTCTTAGTAGTAAAGCGGCCTAATTTTATCTCAAAAAATAAAATTATGAAAATATTTTGTGTAAAAATAGTTTTAATTTTAACACTAACCAATACTATATCTATTTAGTTCTAGCGGTAGATTAATTATTTTGTAATTCTAAATATAGTTAATGAATTCTGAATTTTTATAACTTTTATCTAAATAAAACTTATGTTGTTCCATTTACACGCATATTCTTTCATTTTTGCAGGTTTTTGATATTCAAATTTGCATTTTCAGTTCAGAAATTCTATTTGACTGTATTGAACGACAGACAGGGTTTTTTTTGGTTCAAAGTTTCAACATCATACTTAATTCAAAATATGGAAAATGCCTGACAGCAAAAATAAGTAACAGAAAATTATGTTGACTGTAATATCTATAATTAATTTAAGTTAAATGGTTCGAATTGTTTTAGATTTGATAACTGTTGAGTGTATTTTTAATATGTCTATTTATAAATTTCGGATCTCGTTATACCTTAATTGTTTTGAGTATGGACCTGTATGCTCATGCGATTAAATGCGTATGTTTATTTTATAATTCCTTTCGTGGGCGCTGATTTATTAGTTTTAATGGTAACAATAAATATAACACTTGATATACATATATTATATTTTGTAATGTAAAATGATTGTAATATATTAAGTTTTTGTCCAAATATGTATTTCACTGACTCGGTGTTCTACTTTTCAGAGCTAAGAATAATATTGAATTAAAATCAGTATTTCTGATCAAAAAATCTGATTCAATGAACAATTTACCATGTACAGCGTGTTGATGACTGGGCGCTTCCAGACATATCTAGAGAATTTTCCAGCAAATCTGCACTTTTTTGCGTTTGCGATAATTATGGTGAATATGTTGTTTGATCAACATTAATCGTTACACGTTTTCGTTCTTCTCATGATTAGAGCTCTGGCCTGACAAATGCACATACACAAATGCAGTCCAAATCCAAAAGTGACTCTAAATATGTTTTCGGCTCTTTTCGTTTCCACACATAAATTATGCAGCAAATAAAAGGAATGGTTTAAACAGCTAGAGTGCGTAAATAACCCAGTTGTAATAAATCGACCAGTTAGGACCCGAAGTTTCACTTTTTAAAAAGCCGGAATAAATTACGACATAAAGAAGACACTATTAACATATTAAAGTAATAAAAATTCACCCTTATAAGTTCTTTATAAGTCGCACAGTAAACATTTAAATGATTTTTAATTGCCGATGGTTTATTTATTTGTTCATCCATGCCGGGTCGGTATGGTTTGCTTGTTAGGCTGATATATTGTCGGTCAATTAGGCTATTATCCATATGCAAGGGTTTGTTTGGGAGAGATAAAATATTAGCATTTTAACTTAGCGCATCGGACAAGTTCCATGTAGGTAACATTATATAAGGTGTTCATTTTAATTACATTTGAGCTTGTTAGAAGATGGTTAATGCTAGTAGCTAGTGGTGAAAAAAATGCGCGGTTTTATTATTTTAGATAAATCAGGATACCGTCGTAGCAGCCCTCGATGCAGTCTGAAAGGGCAGTTTTAATCTAGATAAGTATTTTTTTCCGGTTTTATTGCGACACCTTGCAGATTTATAGGAACGTTTAGGAAAATAATTTTGTCCTGCTTGTATGTTTATGAAAATGGATGGTTTTCTGAGATTTATGAACACTTAAATTTGTAGAAATGTGGCTGCTTGTGAGGCAGACTTGGCTGTCCAGCCAAGCGAAACTCGAAACTTTTCTTTAACAGATTAGCTATTTCAGAAATGTGTTTTGGACTTGTAAACTGTCCTTTAAGTGACATATTGGTATACCATTCTAGGGCGCTTTATTTATATAAGGTTACCAGAAAGAGGCTTTGTTTTATCTATCAATGATGTTGAGTGTAGATACATATTTTTAAATGCTTTAACTTTAGAATACTTACTGTTTTAAGTGTGACTAATCTTCGGCGATAATTCCATTCCTAAAATGAAACAAATACATTTTAGCAGTCAGTAGACGATTCAGCGAGAAGCAATACATATTTATAGCCGGCACAGAACCCAAAGTTAGATCCACTTTATGTATTAGAAGGGTATAAAGCATTTTGCGGTTGAGCAATAATAAATTCACGGCGCGAACTTCAAAACAGAGCATTCAATTGTTTGACGTTTATAGATTTTTCAGACAATGTGTAGATACAAATCTTCTTATTGTATTCAAATAAACTATTTCTTAGATTTTTTGCCCGCCAAGTCACTTGGTTTTTGCCATCTAAACGCGTCTTGAAAATTATTCCAAACATCGCCAAACAAGGCGCCAGTGCTTTTGTTCTTTTTGTTTGCTTTTGAAATCCTGCGAAATTTATTTTATTCGGTTTCATTGAATTATAACTGGGACAAAAGAAAATGTAAAAGATAAATTATAATTCAATTACAATTCACGCATGCCTTTCAACGCCTATACACTTCTATATTCCACCAAATTAATTTCTCATCGTTGCCGACAAGCGAAAGAAACTAAATTTACATGTCAAGAAATTTATTAGGGACAATTAAAGACGCCGTTCATCCCTTAGCATAATGATCAGTTGGACACACCTATTTATCTTTAGTGGCAACTGAGAAGCCTAGAAGGACGCCCGCCCTTAAGCGATTCGATTTGGTTTTACACTTACAGGACCCAGTGGGGGTTGGGTTATAAAATTTAACTACTAGAAAAACGTCGTGCTGGTATGCGGTATAACTTTGTTATGTCCAAATAATTGAGGCAAAGAGAAATGACGCAGCCCAATTGTTTCCAATTCTGTTGAGATTTATAGAACAAAATATCTTACTTTGCTCAAATCTGCGCTTTTTCGCGAATTTTACACGATTTTTATGACAAGGAAGGGAGGAAGGCAACGACCTGTTTGAAAAACACACCAGGTGCTCTAGATTCGAAATAATTGACAATTTTTATCTCATTTCAAGCAATTTTTCAGCGGCCACGATCTTTAACCAATGATTTTTTTTGTTATGGTTCCAAACACTTCATATATGTACATTGGAAACTTGTTAGGTCGGAAACAGTACATTGAGCTCAAAAAACTGGTATGTGAAATTTTGATTTTTGACCGAAAATTTCATAAGTGGTTGTGTTCTTCGAAAAATATCAAGTCTCTCAAAATACCTCGAATTTTACATCATTTTCATCACAAGAAATCGAGGAATACCATGCGCTCAATATGAAGAACACAAAAGTTTCAAATTTTAAATAATTCACATTTTTGGACAATTTTAGGCGGTTTTTCAATCAATCACCACCTTTAACCGACGATATCTTCCTTATTACATACTCAAACACCTCAAATGTGCATACTGGGGAGCTTCTTAGGTCGGTGGCAATCTAGTGAACCCTAAAAACAGGCACGTGAAATTTCGAATTCTGACTGAAAATTTCATAAGGGAGTAGGGTCAATTTTTTGAGAAAATAAAATTTTTCAAAATTCCTCGAATTCTGAGAAATATCGATATCAATTTAATCTTAGACCTGAAATATTCAACATTTTTAACTCGATTTCAGTAGTTTTTCAGAGGGCATAATCTTTAACCGGCGATGTGTTCCTTATTATAGACCCTAACACTACATATATGCACATTAGAGAGCTTTTTAGGGCGGAAACAATCCCTTGAACTCAAAAACACTCATGTAAAATTTCGAATTTTGACTGAAAATCTCATAAGGGTCGATTTTTTGAAAACATTTAATTTTTCAAAATTCCTCGAATTCTGAGAAATATCGATATCAATTTAATCTTAGACCTAAAATATTCAACATTTTTAACTCGATTTGAGCAGTTTTTCAGCGGGCATAATAGTCCTTATCCGGCGATATCTTCCTTATTATAGACACAAACGCTTCATATATGCACATTAGAGAGCTTCTTAAGGTGGAAACACTCCATTGAACTCAAAAAACTGCCACTGACTCATGTGAAATTTCGAATTTTGACTGAAAAATTCATAAGGAGGGCGGGACGATTTTTTGAAAAAATTTAATTTTTCTTAAAATTCCTCGAATTATCCATCAATTTAATCTGACAAAAGCGAGAAATGCAACGAGCTAATTGGAAAATACGTAAGAAATGTTAGACCCGAAATATTCAACATTTTTGACTCAATTTGAGCAGTTTTTGAGGGGTCACGCAAAAATTTTCAAGCGGTTTTCTGCGGTCATGATCTTTAACCGACAAAGTATGCTCAATTGACAAGTCATTCTTAGGTCTAAAACAATGCACTGAACTTAAAAGACACATTTTAAAAAATTTGTAAGATTTTTAGCCCAAATGCGTCTAGTCAGTTTAGTGGGGCCAAAGCAAAATTTACAGTAATTTTAACTTTCGAATTCAGTATCCAGTGAACACAAGCAATATCCAAATAGAAAGTAAATTAGTTCCTCGCAAATAGTATAAGTAATCGCGGCCATTCAACAGGACTAGACGCCTAATCTTTCATTGGAAATCACCATGCGTAAGGAACCATGTAACGTTGCTTGGACGTTTTTTATACGTCACGTAGCAGTTTCAGCGACCTTGTTTAACATCCATTGATAAATATTATAAGCGATTTTATGGTACGCGAGATTTGACCAGTACAAGATTAAAACTGCTAAATATAGCTAACATAGCCATAGATGAAACCTCGCGGTTCGCAGAACGAGTTTAAGAAAAAAATATTTCGGTTCCGACTTCGTCAAATAAGAGATCTTTTAGAGATGTGATCTTGTGATGTAATATTTCTAAATGGATCCTGATCGAACTATTTCTTCACTGGCGGTTGGACTACTTGGATAGATCTTCTATCCGTGAAGATGAAATAGAACGTGGGATGCATAAAAAAATGTATGCATCGACCAAGAACCGCCTCTGGCTAGTAACGAAATTATCATTATCATGTAACATAATTTTACACACCGAATTAAAGCACCTTTACGCATTCCTAGCGAACCACGCAACATGTATTGACACCTGTTTTGTTCCTCATTTAATGAAATTACATTCTTTTAGTGTCAGTGACATAAATCAAATACGGATCAGTTCCATGAATAAGATTTTCTTCAAGTTGGAGGTGTGATGTAATTCAGATTATTAACAGGCTGTTGATTACAATATGAATATAAAATTGTGGAAAAATGCAAATCTATCAATTAGGCACACACCAAACTGATTACAGTCACGTGACTCTAATCAGTAGTTAGTTAGTTTTCTAGGAACATTTTGAATCAAACTCCTCAAATTGTTTTATTCACCTTTGAGGCAGTTCACGTTATTAATTTCAATGCACCAAAATCATGCTAACTTGACGTTTATTTTTATCCTCTCCTAACGTGACGTGCGCCCACTAACTGGCAATAACAGGGAACTTTGGATTATTAATTTTTGAACTATTACATCAGTAAATAACTTTATCGTTTCGAATTAAATAAACGCAAATATTATCACGCATATTTCAATATTCATTTCACATGGCAAAACCAAAGCTACACATCAAAATTTCGGAATTATCCTCGGTGTTTTAGTAGAACAATATCATAAATTGCAAGGGAAAATAAACTAAGACATATCAATGCTTCTAAGAAATAGTTTGCAACAGCCCATTTCTGACGAACACATAACATCACTACCTATTTTCATGTGGTGAAATATCAAGCAATTTTTACTGTCATCGGATGTATTATTTATTACGGCTAATTACTTTGAAGCCTTGATAAAACTAAACCGTAACCAGAATAATGCAGGCCATGCTGCATATGACTCACGCACAAAATCAAAGCGATTGGGCAAAAAATTCCTACATAATAAAATGTGACATATTTTAAATGACTTAATAAACAACCGAATCGTCATAAAAACTCACAAACCGTTCCGAGATCTAAATACCTCAGAGTTAATAATGGCTTTAATAATTTGCTGTCATTTCTACTGTAACAGGAAATGGCATCGACTAATCCACTCTGAAAGCAACATCCCTTATTTTGTCAGTTGGGCCGAGCCCTTCACAGGAGAAAAATGCCCTACGTGTTGGTGAAAGAAACTCCCATTATCCTAATTTTATCAACAGTTACTTAAATTCGTTTGTGCCGGACATCCCCATGGTCTCTTATTGGATTTGTCGGAATCTCTCTGCTGCAACGTTTATCTTTGAGCTTCTTATCGCATTGGATGTTGTTGCCTGCCAATTATTGAGATATTTATGCTCATTGCACGAACGTTACTCAACCAACCAATGACCATGATCCATTCCTAGTTAACATACTAATTGTTCTAATTCCTGCTTGCAATCTGAAGCTGCGATACTTACCACAAAGTTGCTAATGTTTATTGTTCATGATTAACCTACATAGCAGAATAAAACAGACAAACTCCAAGGAAATAATCTGTTAGTTTAAACCTGCACAAATGCGTTTGGCAGGAGAGATTCTCAAATTTTGCAGGAAATCTCATAATGTAACAGTGCTAGTTTCAGATTGTTTTCATTAAATAATGTGCACACGAAGAGTTTGGTAAATATTTTGCTAGCTCCAGACGGTTTTACATAAAATAATCAGGATAAAAATGTTTTATTCAGTATTTAAACAGTTTGTTTGCACGTTGGGAATACTGTTAGTAATATTTTCCAATTCCGCCGAAATACATGCATGCATTAATATTAAGTTACTACCTGCATTACTTGGTCTGGTTAATAGTTAAAGTGAACAGTGAACTGCAATCAAACAAAGATTTGCAAATATTTCGAAGCTGTAATAATTGGAAATTTTCTGTAGTTTTTTGTTTCTAAAATAAAATTGCATTTGAAATTTTTCCACTTCGGACTTACCAAGGATTAAATTCCACAAGCCACATATCTTCCTTATTATAGACCCAAACACTTCACATATGCACATTAGATAGCTTGTTAGGGCGGAAACAATCCATTGAGCTCAAAAAGCTCATGTGAAATTGCGAATTTTGACCGAAAATTTCATAAATGGGTCAATTTAAAAAAAAATTCTCACAAAATTCCTCGAATTACATATAAATTTAATCTTACAAAAGCGAAGAATGCAACGAGCTAATTGGAAAACACGTTAGAAACTTTGAACCCGAAATATTCACAAGCCAATCAAAAATGAAATAACATCGGAAAAATGTTTATAGGTAGAAGCTGAGATTTTAGGACCAATTAAAACAGGTAATAAACTTTAAACATTGCTTAATTATATGTTTAAAAATTCGTTCCATCCTTAATAGAATTGATATTTGTAAATAAATGTTGAGATTTTCATGCTCAGTCTCACGCAACCGCGTTCCATGTTTGGAAGGGATTGATAAATGTTTAGAAACACTTAAATTTTATATTGTTGTAATAACCTGGCTGAGTTCAAAAGTCGGTTCATGGGCAAACACTTTCAATTTACATAGTTGGTTAATGATCCATTTTTTTATAGTTAGTAAACTGTAACGTTTGATTTAAGAAATGTATACAGATAAATAAATGCGCGTTTTATGGCGACTGTGTACTTGTGGTTGTACGATTAATGAAAATAGGAAACGGTGAGAGAAAACTGAAAACGATGAGCGTCGCCCTAGAGAATAAATGAAATTCGATACAGCATATCTGCTTATTTTGCATTTCGTATTAATAGTGGGAAACAATTTAAAACATTATTGTGCATAAACAATTTGACGTAAGCGTACACCTTGATTAAGTTATCTAAAACTGTAACAGCGTCGATAATTAGCAAGGACGACGTGACATAAATCGCATCCGCAAAAATAGCAATTGCACAGTATTTTGTAATAGTTGAGCTCCAACATCTATTGCATATATATCTATTGCATTAATGAATGAATCGTTGGTTAAAGCATCAAGCACGCGCCACGATTTCCAGCACATTTCCAAAATCACTAACTTAGCATCAGCGTTTTTTTATTTGCTTTTATTATTCACATGTGATGTGGTCACAAGGTGTCTCAAATTGGATAGTTGGCAGCACAAGTATGAAACATTTAAGTTTATAATAGCTACTAAAGCTTTTCAAATATATGTTTCGTAGTAGTGTAGTCCGACAACAGTTATGCTGCTTGCTTTTATTTGCTTCTGTTTTAGCTACAACTAGACAGGAATTCATTTATTTAACACATTATTTGGTGGGGATCAATATCTCGTCAGCGTGAATGAGATAAAGGTTAAATTAAAACTCCTCGTGGATGATATCTATAATATCAGTAAAAATTACGTAGTGTTTTTTATATTAGCAGTAGCCTTCATGAGGTCTCTTTAATATACTTACCTTACCAGATTGGGATGCGGAATATTGACTGACCAATGATTATTCAGGTTACCAAGCAATCGAGAGTCGAGAGCAATAAACAAGGGCTTGGTCTAAGTCACTCGCATTTCATAAAGCCGTTTTTCTAAAACTGAATCAAATAATTTGTCTGCATTTACCAGTTGTGCTTAGCTTAAATGGTATGCATAGAATGTACACACGGTCCCTATACTATCGAATTAGGTGCTTTTAATGATGACTTACTAATAGTCTAGTATAGTACATATTATAACCGAGAATGTGTTTAGTCACTCTCTTTATACTGCAATTAAAGCTTTCATTTGTTAGTGCAATAAAATATCCCTCAATTTTATAAGTTTTATCAAATGCTGCCGATCTGAATTAGAATACAATTTTACTCAGAACTTTTGATGATTTTCGTGGCAAATCTGTTATCGGTATAGTGCTTCCTATAATTCCTGTAAAAAAGACGTCACCTACAAATATA